CCTTTAATATATTGTGATGATGCAATCAATCTGTCAAATCAGCTTTAGGATCAATCACCAGTCTTATCTGCTTTAGGCTTTTTGGACGCAGCACTGTGGTACTGAACTCTCTAATAGGCCATAAAAAGAAACAATTAACATTTGTTAATAAGTTGATGAAAGAATCGACTTGATACATAAGCACTATCTGAAAGGGTTCCAAAGTTTCTACTTTCACTTTCATATCAGTACGTAACCAAAGCCGGGAAAGGGAAATTTTAAAAAAAAGTAATCCTTTAGCCTAATATGTATTGCTTATTACATTCATTCAGAAACATTTTTTCCCGAAATTACTTACAGATCGCTAACGCTAGCTAGGTTTACGAAATTGATTTAACAAGTCACAGTGATAAGAGCTAGTATCTCATGTAGAAAGTTCATACACGCCTGTAACTATAATGAAAAGATATTTTAACAATATGAATTAACAGTTTTTTTTTAAATTGTTAGGAAATCTCTTACCTTTTCAAAACAACCAGCACGTCTGCTGCAGCAGTGACGTCAAAAATGACGTACAATTTCATCCGATAAAAGGCAAAACCGGCCCGGGGACAAATGCGGAATTATTTTAATTTTATTCAAGATGTAAGCCAAGCCCAATGAAAAGCAAACTAATTTATTCTTTTTCAATTTTAGTTTGGTAAATGCATTATTACAGAAAAAAAAATGTGAGAGGTTTTTTTAGAAGGGAAAGGGGGGGGGGGGGTGATAAACAAAGCAAAACTTTACATAGTCATAAGTAATTACTAACAGATTCTTTTGAATTTAAATGTACATATATATTATTGAAATTGCAATCTTACGTGAGTATAACTAGGGTATATTAGTGAACATCATTTCATAAGATTCTCATATGATCACTGTTTCATATTTGATGCATGATCACTGTGAAGCTATGCATATGATTCTCTTTCAATATTCTCATATGATTGTAAATACATATGATTCTTTTATGATCATCATATGAAAGGCAATGCATATGTGGATCATATGTGGATAAATTGCCTATGTATAATTACAAAATACAGTTAAAAAGCATAAGTTTACCTAATGGGCTATATCCTCCACACGTATGAGAAAAAACTAAACATGTGTATAACATGTGAATATGAATACACATATATTTCATATAAATTAAACATGTAAAATTCATCTGTATTTTCGCACACATATATAACATATATATAGCATGTGTTATACATATGTTGTGAAAAACATGTGTTTTACATATATATTATCTCACAGGTGTATTACACATGTATATTATAAATGTTTAACATATATTTGAAACACATATTTTACATCTGTTTATTTGCATACATGTATTACATGTGAAAATCATGTGTTGAACACATGTGAAACCAAACACATGTTTAACACATGTGGACATTTTTCCTGTGCAGTGTAAATTTAAGTTTGTTCAAATCATGACCACCGGAGGTAGGGTGGGGCCAAAATGGCCGATCAAAGTTTTACGTAGGAATATATAGGGAAAATATTTTAAAATCTTCTTCTCAAGAATCACTTGGCCAGGAAAGATGAAACTCATATGGAATCATCCTTAGGTAGTGTAGATTCAAGTTTGTTCAAATCATGACACCCGGGTGTATGGTGGGGCCAAAATGGCCGATCAAAGTTTTACATAGGAATATATAGTAAAAATCTTTAAAAATCTTCTTCTCCAGAACCACTGGGCCAGGAAACGTGAAAACTCATGTGGAATCATCCTCAGATAGTGTATATTCAAGTTTGTTCAAATCTTGACCCCTGGGGCTAGGGTGGGGCAAAAATGGCCCACCCAAGTTTTACATAGGGATAAATAGGGAAACCTTTTAAAATCTTCTTTTCAAGTACTTCAAAGCTATGATTAGTGATATTTATATGGAATCTTCCTCAGGTAGTGTAGATTCTAGTTTGTTCAAATGATGAATGCCTGGGGGTGGGGGTTAAATTCAACCCCGATGTGCTCAGGTGAGCGCTGTGGCCCCTGGGCCTCTTGTTAATTTTTATTTCTCACACAATTTATGGATCACGATTTTCAAATATGAATATTAAAAAATCTTTTAATAATAAATTGAACATCAATTTGAAAACAAAATTTGTAGGTTTAGAGAAACGGGATAAAAGATGGAAGAGGATCGACTCCCATGATGTAGTCTATCCACGTTTGACAGAGGAGGAAATACGCCAGTTGACCTTTGGTGTTTACCAAATCAGATTGGCAAAGTCATAAACACACGAGCATTTGATGGAAGGAAAGTATGAAATTTTCATCAGTGATGATTGTGCTGGTATCCTCTGTGCTAAGATTCAAAGCAGACACATTTCAGCAAAGAAATACTTACTTTGGATCAGATATGATGACGTCAGTATCAAATCCTGGTTTTACAAATGTAAAGTTGGCGCAAGAGTTGTGGGCATGTGTGCTCATATTACCAAAGTAATTTGGTTGTTGGTTTTCTCTCGTCATGAGGGAAGTGGGGCATGTGGTGTCCGCGATTGGTGCAGTGTGGTTGCGGCTGTACTTCCGATTGATGAATCAGAGCGAGGAGGAAAATGAAGATTCATCACAGACGAGGAGTGAGTGAATCTCAGGCTTATCAGTCGACATTGCAAAATATAATTCAAAACTTTTTTAGAATTATTATTTAACATCATATTCTCCATGTACACATTTTCCAATATTATGATATTAAGGATCAACCTTTCTGTTTTTTTATGATTTATCAAAAATGTATTGCTCTGTTAATGAAAGTTTTTATTTATCAAAGCAGTTTAATTTGAGTTATACACAGTTACACAGGAACTCCAGATGATATTTACACTTACATGTACACATACCTGTTTTTTTTTAAATGAATTTTCCTGAAATTTAATTAGCGTATACAAGATATTTTGTTTGGCTTATAAATATCTATAACTGTGAAGATGATTTTTTTAATTGTATAAATGTTTACCATGGATTGGATATTTTTTTCAAATACATGTGGATTATAAGCAATTCATTTAATGATAGAGTTACAACAATATTAAATGGATTTTCAATCTATCTATGATTTTTTTTTTAATTATCGTGTCTCGTCTGATACAGAAGTAATAAAAAATGTAGGGATCACTTCATGTCTCTTTACCCCACTGTTTTTCTGCTTTTCTATCTTGTTCATTATAAGTGAGATTTCATTTAACAACCTCATTAATTCATGGTTGAATGATCCCTAGGTATCTGAATGAACTTTAACAATACATCGAAAACTTCTAAATGGTATGATTGGTTGTCTGATAACATAATCCCTAGAGTACGTTTTATGAACGAACTTTCAACTAAGACCAAACTTATGCAAATAACTTTCTTTTTTTCTGTAAATTAGAAAAGGTTTTAGCTTTTTTAAAAAGATTTTAGAAATGCTAGTATTTATTCAATTTTACCCGTGAAATACTGTAATTTATTCATTGAATAAAAATGATATCCTGTCACACTGTGAAAGGATATCAAAATGATATCCTGTCACAGTGTGATGAATATCAGAAGTGCGGGAAAACTCGTTTTCCCTTCCCATAATGAAGATTCTTTTTAAAAAATCTTCCTTGACCTAATGCAAGATAGATGAAAATAAATAAACCACTCTGACAGCTAATAAACTGTTAAAATTACCAAAAATATGTTGCTAAATCCATGTTTACAGTGTTTTCACCTCACATAGGTATGACGTCGCAACCGCTCAACTATGACGTCACGAGCGTATGACTGTATTACAAAAAGACAAAGGCAAAGGAAAAATCAAAGAATTTCATTTTAAAAATGTAATAAATAGAAAATTCAATGTTTTGTAGTTATTGCTTCGCACTCGTGAAAATATCAAAAATCCTGTCCCACTCGTGAAATAAATTCCATATTCAACTACAAAACATTGAATATCCTCTATTTATTTATGCAAGCAATTGAAAATAAAATCAATAAGTGTGCAAGATTTTGCAATCACCTAAACAGGCTAAAGTTTCAAACTTGAATAGTTACAAGTTCTTTTGTAAAACGTATCCCCGCATCTCTAAATGGGTTAGTGAGAACTTAAGCTGACATAGACAACCAAACAAGATGGCAAGATTTGCAAACAAATATAATTTATAATCATTGAATCATATAACAAAACAATGTGGCGGGGTTTCTTTAGTCAGAATGATGATTTGACAACTTTTGAAATGATTACAATATTTACCTCCCACTTTGGGCTCGGGTGGATATTAAACACCTCGGGAAGCCAAATAGTGATGATATTGTTTTAAAAACTGCATAATTGTATATTGTCAGCTCAGATATCAATTTCAAAAAGAAGTTTTTCATTACTTTGTTCGGATGAATATTGCAGAGAAAAGCTTTCTTTGTTATTTAGGATGACAGCGTCAATATTGTACATGTTAACTTTCTTATCTCATATCTCAAAAAGTATTGGTGATACAAAGATAATATTACTATATAAAAAAAAATCCATGCCCTAGAGGGTATTGGTGCAAAAAATTTCCAACCTCTGAAAATAGGCCTCATAAGAACCTAAGTGTACCTTCTTCTTTGGTATATTCCCCAAAATTAAGCCAAAATAATTTTTTTTTATGTCTGTTTTAATGTGGTTTTAAACATGATGCAGATAGATTATTATGAAGCTAGAAACAATCAGTTGTCAATGAATAGTTTTTATGCATTTTTGATTAGTTAACATAAACTGACATACACCTTTCACTGATTTTACTCTGATATGTAACTTTGCACACTATATTTCGTCCATGAGTTTGTATATTCTGCTTGTGAATTTTTAATAAAATACCATTGTTTATAAATTTCAAAATCTTTATATATGAAAATAGTTTTCTTAAAGAAAAAAAAACAAGTTAAATGTGAAAGATCAAAAATGGCAAAATAAAGACATAAGACGAAAAGAGATAACCGATAAGCCATGAAAGATTTTTACCTTGACACAGTCATGATGAGAAGCAATCAGGATAACAGGGGTGGCCTTGGTTACATTATTTCGACTCATCTTAGACTTCCCATCCTCGCAGTAGGTTTTAATGGATTGCAGCCAAAACACGAAGTAGTCTTGCGAAAAAAAAAGCATTATCAAATGATGGATCTTAAATTCTGTCACATGTAAACGGTGATTCTAAGTAATATGAGATACCTATAATCTTTAAATACCATGACAGCAATAGTTATAAATGCATAACACTGTATAAAACAGGTTTTCTGTACAAAAAAAAACTCTTTCATTGAGAGTATTTACCTGCAAATGTCCAGTTATGAAATAAAGATCCTATGGGGTTGTGTCTATCAGTGTCGTATGACATAGCTTTCTCCTCCAGATCTTTGGACATGTCAACCACCACGAGATAAAAGGCTCTTCTAGATAGGTAAATCTGGTGACACGCGTAATACGCCACTTGTCCAGCAAAATCCGTCATACTTATAAGTTGTCTGCCATTTGTGCTGTAAGAAGTCTTGTCTGATTGGGTTCCATTTTTATCAAAATCTGAAAGAATGTGAGATAAGAATTGCAAATAAAAATATATTCCTATTCTTAATAAAAAATTATTCATGTTTTAAAACACAGACTCTTAGTGAAGTGTTTATATGACACCTATTTTAACATCTTAACAAAATGAACGTTTTGAAAACAAGCTGCTGGCCTTTTAAAAAAGAACTGCAACTTGTTTTAATTGAAATTCAATTAAAAATAATTCTAGGTTTAGTGAAATATACCCATCTATAAACATATCAGCTTCACATATAAACATTTCAGCTTAACATATTTAAAAATAAATCACCTATTAATGTATCATCTTTAATTTCAAACAAATCCTCGTGGATATCAAGACCGACGGTTGTCTCAGTTGGTTGTTTGTTTTCTTCTTTGTTTTCCCTTTGAAGTCTTCTAAGAAGAGTCGTTTTTCCTGCTCCTGCGCATCCCACTATCATTCCTCTGGCTCGACACATGTTCACACTGCCTTGACTTGAAATTTTGACGAACCTTTTTCTTGCTTCCATGTCCCAACGAAGTACTTCTTCGGGTATCTTCACTAAACATAACATGAGTCTAATTATAATAATCCTCTTAGCTGGCATATACATGTACATGTACAAACATATTTTGTTAGGGGATTGCAAGTTGATTCTGAAGGGGCTGGGGGGGGGGGGGTGGCTATTTTCTCGAGGCTAAATTATTTTTTTTTCATATAGATAAAGGACACGATATTTATTTTCATCTATACTAAAACAAATATCTGACAAGCAAAATGAAAAAATAAAATCATCAATCAAAAACTCTAAATAGGTGGTGGTTGTGATGGTGAAGGAGGGGGAGGGAGGGGGGAGGGGGGTAATGGCTTTGGTCATGTACAGATTATTTATTCTCCTGCCAGTCGAGGGCAGATAAATACTTTTTGAGAACGGTTTATTTATTTCCCTTTGTCAGTCTCTCCCTCTCCTCAGAATCAAATACTTGTCCCCATTTATGTTTTTCGTCCCTCGCTGAATGTGGGATATATTAATTTCGGACTGTCGTTCCCTCCGTTTATATTTCTGTCTTTCTGTAACTATTTCGTTTTAAGCCATATACCGTATACATATAAGTAGAATTTTTAACGAGGATTTAATTTTGGCATTATTAGCGAGGGTGCTGACATTGCTAAAATTTAATATCGCTAAAAGATTAATTGCATATTATTTGTCATAGCTTCTTTATTTAGCATCTAAAAGACGCTAAAATTACTTCTTGCTAAAATTAAAATACCTGATTTTATGTTAAAAACGATTAATTTGCGTCTCGCTAAAATTTCCACTTACGGTATATCGAGAAGTTTTAAAGCTTTAGCAATTACATGTACATTTTACACAATAACTCCAAATGGCAAAGAAAGACTCCTTTTGATTTTGAGATCAAATTTCCAAGGCGTAAGTTATAAATTAAAAGATTTCTGTCTGTTTTAAGGTCAAGATTAAGTAATTGAAAAATACCTAGTAGACAGATTTATCAAATTCCGGAAATTAATTCCTGTAATGATGCTTTATAACATTAGCTTGGTCAAATAAGGTGTTTCGGGTCATAATTTGTAGGTAAAGAAGATAAAAAAAACCATATTTTAAACAGTCATTTTCAATGAAAAATTAAGAAAACTCAAATTGAATGACATGAAAAATCGAAAATACCCTATTTTCTACATAATTCTGCTTATGCCGTAAAGTACGGAGAAAAAGAAAGTTGAAATGGGTCATTATGTCATAATAATGTAGTACATGTAACTTCACCAAATCGTTCTAAAGTCATTTATCAGATTTTGTCCTTAAAACTTTTCCACACGTTTCCGTGCAATATCTTGAGAAGCATTTGAGTTTGTGCAATGACGTTTTATACCTCGTTTCTCTATGGCCTATGGGAGATTTTGAAGTCAAATGTCTAGGTCGTAAATAATGAAAAGTCTGTCTGTTTTGACACTTTTCCGCTGCACGTTTCCACGCGATATTCTGGGTAGCGTTTGAGCTCTAGTTGACCTATGAAAGACCCCTATTTGATTTTGGGTGGTCAAAAGGTGAAGGTCGTAAATTGATGTTCTGTGTCGGTGTAAAACTTTCAATTCTGGGCGATATCTCAAGCGACTTTCAATTTTTTAAATTTTATGTTTCACAAAACTCCGGATCCCTTTGTCTCCCCTCCACGTATTAAAGTGCTCCCTCGAGCTCCCTCTCCTGGGTCAGCACATCTTTTTCCCTTCAGCGGGGAACACGGAATCTCTGAATAAGCTTATTACAATGTGCAATTAAAACTAATCTCTACGATTGAGTAAAAAAAAGATCATCTTCATTCAAAATAGATTCTTTTCCCTCTAAATCCAATATGAAAAATAAAACAAAGGAAAAAAATCTGCGAAATTAGTCATGCTGTTAACGTTTAAAATTACTAGCATAAAAATGTTCATCTGTATATCTATGGATTAGGTCGGAGAATTGTGCCCGAATACAAAGAACTTGCGTATAAGACCCACATTTCATTCTTATAATCATAAATTTTATAACTACACTTAACTAACAGGGGTTACAATTAAAATAATTTTCCAATCATTAAGGTAGATCGCAGGTTTGCTGACATTACAATAGGATTCGACTTAAAAAGCTTACTACGTTTACAGTATTAACTACAAACAAGTAAAAACTATTTCCATCAGTACATTATAGCTTGTTTTGTCTGTAAATATATTTCTTTATATGTAATAAAAGATAAAGGATTAATCAATAACTAATCAATACGAAATTAAATTAAGAGTAAACATCACGTTAAAATATGAAAGGTCAAAAATTCAAATAATATGACTCTGTGTTTTATTGAAAAAAGTGTGACAATTTAGGTAAATTATGACAATGTTGTCATGAACATTTATTGCAATCAATTAAAAATTGAAAATGTGGATAAAACATGTTTTATTTTCAGTGAATTGTTGATTACATCGTAATTCTGAGACGTACGAAAATAACGACGTCGCACTAACGTTGTATAACGTCCTAATGAAATTATATACGTTTGTTACAAATTTGTGAAACTTAAAAGTTTTTTTGCGAGAAAATGAGCGAGAACACATATTAATTTTTTTTAATAGATCGATTCTAAATTAATCTCAGTTTCATTGTGTTGAGTGATATAAAATTCGTCTGCACCGTTTTTATATTATAAGCATGGTTTTGAAATGCGTTTACCGGTGAGAAAGGTGCATTTACTATATATTTCACTGTAATCGCTTCACCAGTTCTCATCAACATTAGTGCCTTTGAAATACGATAACAATTTAACCACGCAGACGAATCTCACAAAAATTTCAGAAAGTAAAATTTGAAACGAGAGGATTCAGTTGACAAATTTTCAGAGTATGTTTTCAGGCAGACAATAAACCCTAAAAATGTATCAAACATTCACATGTAATAACATAAAATTTAATACTTTTGATTTTGCTTTTTTGAAAGATTACGCTACTGAAAAACAGATTAAAATAAATGTTTAAACACAAATCAAGAAAATAAAAGAGTTAAAATAAAGAATCTTATCAAAAATGCCGAAGATCTGCCCGAAAAATATGATATTTTTACTAGAGTGCCACAGAGGTAATACTACATAAACCAGTGAACCACATAACTAGAGACAGAACAACGAGACTTACAACGTTTACTGATCTTCTTATGAATCTCCACGTCAGATACGGTACAGTGTGTGATGATATCCAGCTGTAGACGGTCTATGAAGAGGTCGTACATCTTCACCGGACTGACCGGTACATACAGACATCTCTCTCCCTCACTCCTCTTATACCACCAAGACCTGCAGTAGTCTGAGATCACGTCACGTGACGCCGTGGTCAGGAAAAACTCCAGATCACTGTCTTCCACCAGACACTCCTTAACAAAGGCGAACATGACGTCATGTCGGATGTCCTCTGATATAAAGGTTATCACACCGTCACGTGTTTCTGTGATTTCATCAGGAAGATCTACCGAGCCGTCAGCAGTTATATCAGGGAAATACCTCTGTCTGATTTTGTCCTTTGTGATTCGGTGTGATTGTTCAATGAAACTAATCCGATATTTATCAGATATAAGTAAACAATACAGTAGGCATCTGACTGTCGTTGGATGGCCCAGGATTTTACCTGAAATGACAAACAAATCAATAAATTATAAATCACCAAACAAATAAATTAATTAAAAAAAATTAATAAATTGTTAACATTCAGTCGAACTACATGGACTGCACTTCAATCTTTTTCTTTACACTGTATGTACATGTGTGTATTCATTCCTATTGAACAGAGATGTTTTAGGATGTGAACCACCCCACCCCCACCATATTTTTTTAAATCTCTACTTTAACCATCGCTGAATAAATGATATTAAAAAGATGAGGAGATTTATCATTAATTAATTTAATAATAATCCTGAAATACGAATGCAAATCTGTAAAAAAAATGATTTTTATTCTTAATAATAGCTATAAATTGAAATAATGTTTTGCTTTCGTAGCCCGCGAGACACAGTGTTTCGAGCATCTGCTTTAGAGTCCAGGAGTAGGGAGTTCATTCTTTTAATAGCGACACCACATTATTTTCTTGTTTGTTGGACATCTGATGACAGAAGTATGAGAGGGAAAAATTTAGTAATAATATTTTTACTTTTTTGAAGGAAATATTGTTAGTTGGAACTTGAACAAAATTGAACGGAAGTATATTCCCCCTACCTTATTTTTCTTTTCTTCTTTTAGAGCTACATATAGCAGAATGACAAAGAGTAATGCAGAGGAAATAAAAGAAAAAAATATCAATAAGACATTGTAATTAAGCGATGTTGCATGAGGAGCATAAATACACAATCATGTTTAGCAGGATTCGCAGAAACTAGAAACTGCTGGAAAAACCGAAGGATGGGGAATAATTGTAACATTTCAGATAATGAATTTAAACTTTAACAGAGCTGCTACCCCCCCCCCTCTTCCTACAACGTCTACGGAATTTATTTTCCCATTTACTGTCATATAAATATATATTTTAACTTATTAAGGAATTTCTGTATTTTTGTGCCAAAGCAATTCAAAAATCAACTTCTAGGACAACATATTCCTGTCTTGGTCAATTGAAAAATGAAATACCCAAATCAATAGTTTCTTGTTTCTGCACCCTACCCCAACCACAACCCCCTCCTCCCTACACACAGAGACACACATGAAGACATACATCCTTTCCACACATAAAAACACACTTTCGGAAAGGAAGGGGGCAGCCAGAAAGAAAAAAAAAACTAACCTAAAATAGAAAAAAATATTGACTTATTCTATTTTTCTATATATTAACGATGAATAGTGTTTGTAAACGTCCAATATACTGTAATTATGAGTTTGCTTGTTGATTAAAACGTCTCACTTCGAATATTTCACTGAAACACTGTTACATTGACGACATTCTTTGCCGCGGAGAGCCTCAATTTGACCTTGGCACTGCATGAAGGCCACTAGAGAAACACCGACATCTTACGAACGAACGTAACTCTCCCTAACTTCCCGTATCTCGATCGTTTTCTCGGGACCAGTGATTGTACCAATATAAAGTTTAAAATCGGAAAAATAAGTATATGTGTAAAATAGAACGGATAGTGTTTTAACCACTTTGTATTTGAAAATAGCTCATGTCAATTTTTTTGTAATCACATACAATGTATTAAAAAAGCGAACAAATAGAAGAAAATACACCATAATACTGTTGACGGATTAGGAAACACGTTTGTCATGCGTCAGTGATTAAACGTATACAAACTACTCGTAGTGTGCGCCTTGTTCATATGGGGAAAGGTTACTTTTTACAGCTTGAAAAAAAATAAATCCGTGCAATCAAGTAAATAGGTAGTGCGCTTTATAAAGTGTCTTGTATTGAGAGAGAGAGAGGGGGGATTCTTTTTCAAATTTATTAAGATATCATTTCAAAGAAATAAACGAGCATTAATGGTAGACAGTATCTTATTAGATGATGTATTAAATGGCGATCTTAACTAAATTATCTTGGACTGCTTTTATTTTATATATATGTAACAGGCTTAAAGCAAGCTATTTAAGCTGGGGGGAGGGGCACAACCAAAAGTTTAGAGTCACTACCAAACAATTCCCTGAGAAGCCAAAATGAAAGATGTTTTTATTGAGGGGGATCAAGTATACCGTAGCTAAGTTTTATATAATATTATATTGTTTATTTTTCGACTTCATTGGGGGAGGGGGGGGGGGCTTATCCCAACCCCTCAACCCTGTTCCTATATACGACCGTGCACACGTACATGTATATCTGTTTATATGCCTGGATAATAAAAAAGGCTGAAAACGCATTTATGTAGGGTGGTGCATTTTTCTTAGTAAAGTTCTTTTCTTTGTATTATTCGTCAAAATATAAAATCAGAAGATACACTTTATACTTTTGACCACATAGAGAGTTATTTGGACCGAAGGTCCAATATACACATAAAACTATAACCGAAATTATAACTTGCTTCATTTGTAAGGAAAAATATACATGTATATTAACCATCCTGTTGTAAAACAAAAAAAAATTGATTCCAGAATACCAACAATAATATATATACGGACTTTTAAAAGTGTGAATAATATGAAAACATAGTTGTCACTTAGTTGTCATTGCATCCTTCAAAAGTATGTGCAGACACATGGTTATCACAAGTGCTTGTAGACCAGACAACTTCCCCACCACGACTCCCAATATACATACCGGGTCCCAAGATATTCATATTTGTCTTTTTTCTTAAATGAACCGTCTAGTACATATTTAAAATGTATTTCATATGAGAGATCCAAAAAGTACATAGAATTCACTAAAATTTATTTTAAAACAACCATGCCCGTAGTATCTTAAATCACTTTTGAATTTTTAACTGCAGGTATCAATTTTGTATGTTGTAAATTGTAAAACTAACAAAATAACTTTGGACCTGGATTTATATATATTCCAGGGGTTGGGGGGGGGGGGGAGGCAAAGGTCCTATGATGGCATGCTAATATGAAACTTGCCTCATATATCTTAAATTATGTCAAAAACACAATTTACTAAACTTCCATTTTTGCGCCGACCCCCCCCCCCTCCCCCGAAAGTTGGGGATATTAACTGTCCGTTCGTCTTATAATTCTGTCCGTCTGTTACGCTTCTGTTTCGAGCAATATCTCGAGAAGCCTTTGAGCTTTTACAGTGAAATCAGAAAATAGCTTTGGGTCTGGGATGTTAAAGGGGGGGGGGGGGGGCAGTCCACTAGCACCCGTGAGAATTATATAAAGATTTTTAAGTTACATGTAAGAAGAAGCTTTATCAACCGACAAATTACGAGCGGGCATCCCCCTGGATTTATTAATTGGCTATAATACCTGTGTGTTAAAGTCAAATTAATTTTATTTTTGGCAGCATATAGTCTTTTGAACAAGAATTTCTTTAAAGTTTTGGGGTTTTTGTAATTTAATTTTAGACCATAACTCCTTATTGCCCTTCGTAAAGTAACCTTCCCCCCCCCCCCCCCCTTTCGACCCCTCCTAGATCCGCACATAATATTATTTTTTATTTCATGCACCAGAATGACATTTTTTAAAAATTTTCTTTCATTTCCCTTCTCGAACCCCTTTGCTCGTTTAAATGTCCATTGAAATGTATTGTAGCGTCACGGTAGCGACTACGACAAGACGTGGCTTTGGGGTATCTTGAGGGGATTTTATCTATCGAAATCCAAATAGAATTGAAGAATTCACTAATCCAACCGTGAATGCAATAGACTATAATGACTAATCCCCGTTTCTGGTTACGTTCGTTCGTAAGATGTCGGTGTTTCTCTATTGAGCGAGGGATCATTTTCGTACCAGCAACTTCCGCAACAAGGGACCTCGTTTTATTTGGTCTAATTTACATGTAAGTTCACGTGTTTACGTCCCTCAGTGGGATTAGACCCCGTGACATATATAAGGATCGGACGAGAACTATTCATTTCATTCCCACATCCATTCAAACTTTTAAATATGTGCAGTACCTGGATTTTCATCGTCTCTAGTCATTTCGGTCAGAAGTCCGTATTTTTGCTGTTATTTTGCGACGAAGCTGGATTTTTTTAAACAGTTCAAATGCTCCTTGTTCAAGGGGACAAAGGATGTATGGTCACGTGACTCAGTTTAATTACGTCAAAATCTCTTATAAAATATGTACAAAACCAGATTGAAACCAAGTATTTAGGGGAAAAAATGACTGTTTGTTTGAGTTCACCATCTTGTATAAAAATATCTAAAAACATTCTAACTTTCTTGCAAATATTTTCAAATTACGGAATAGATTGATCCATTCTTCTGTTTCCCTACACTGCGCGTCCAACGAGTCGCTGACGTCATAGTGGATCATAGTACAGTAAGATTATATACAAGGTAAAAGACGGGTAGTATAATATCATAAAAACGGGTCATGATCAGTTCATGGAGGAATATCTTATAAATTACAGAACTCAAAAAATATTTTTACATGGTTGTTGACGGAAATATATGGTAGTTATGTCTTACTTAGCTTATTTCGCAATGTGTGACGTCATAGTAGGGTTTTCCTGTACTAGAGAAATGTAAACACGTCACATTTTTTTTATGCTATTGTCTTGTTTAACTTTGTCCTGTGTATTGAGCTCAGCTTCACCAATCGATATTTTTGCAGTTAATCAATAACATGACAATCTTGCATTTCGACGTAATTTTTCAAATATTGAATGATAGGATTTTTTGTAAATTAATTTTTTTGTCGTTTAAGTTGTCTGAAAAAGAACGTAATTTTCCGTCTCCAGATGCCGTGTGACAAAAGAATCTTACTTTTTCGAATTTTTAACCCTATTCATACTCTGAAATATTTAAAAAAAACACATGTTCGCTGACATAATTTTTATCTATGCTGAAAAAATACCATTAAGGACCGAGTAATGGGCCCAGAAATACGGAGAATCAAAACTTTATTCAGACACTGTGGGGCATAGAATTTGTCACCCAATATCTCAGATATAAATTTAGAAACCTATTGATATATCTGCTTTAAGGTATGTGGGACATAATTAATAAGAGATCTACAAAATATAAAAAAAAATTTAATGACAG